CAGGACTCGGATGTTAAGGAAGACTCGATCCACGACGCTATGTAGAGCACAATCGCGGTATGGAACATCGCAGTTCAGCACGGTGCAGCACAGCACAGCCCTTGGCACAGTACATTAAGATCGATACATTCTGCATTGCATTTGCCCGTCGCCCAATCAAGTGTCTTTGAACAGTTGCCATGCCTTACATTTCTATATTCCTTTCCGGGTTCGTGGGTCGATCATGTTAAAAGGACGCCTGGGGGTGTGCAGAAGTGTAGACGAAAGGAAGAGGCATACGGAGAGGCGTACAAACGAGATCCGAGTCAGTTCGGGGGCCTCAAAAGGGACTCCGGGGACCCCATGGGCGCGCCCAGGACGGCCGAAGAAAGCCCCAAAAATGCTGCCAGACGGCCCAGGCCAGGGTCGGGAGGCGTGGAGGACAGCCGCAGGGAGCGCCCGCTGATTCCAACGTGCTTCCAAGAGCCCGCGAAGACGCACGTGAGCTCGAAACGAGGCAAGAATAGAGGCTCGACAAGGCCAGCATGGACATAATCAAGTGTGTTTTACGAGGTTTTTTGCGTGTTGGTTTTTTGTAGTCGAAGTGGGCCGAGGAGAGGTGGGCGGGCTGCCAGGCTGGACCAAAATGGCTTGGGGGACGGCCAAGATCGCCCCAGGAGAGCGTATGGAGGCCTTCAAAATCGAGTCAGTGAGCTCCCGGAGAGGCCTCTGAGAGAGGCCGGCGGCGCCGTGAAGACGAACATTTCCAACGAGGTGTGTTCTGAAGCGAAAATGATAGTCAAAGAGCGCTCATTCCGCAGTTGTGGCCCCCGGGCCGGCGGAATGAGCAGGCCGCGGGGAGGACCCCAGGAGGAGTTGCAAGGGCTCTGAGGAATGGGTATTGGTACGAGGAGTTCGTGCGCGCGCAGATTGAGGGGACTGAGTTCGTGCAGACCATGCGGCAGGGATCTCACACGCCGTTCCCGGTGGGGCGGCGGATCGCTTCGCTCATTCCGCCGGCCCTGGAACGCTATTTGGGGCCTCTTGGAGCCGTATTGGGGGCCTCTTGGGGGCTTCTTGGGAGCGTCTTGGGGCTCCTCGGCGGCGTCTTGGACTCCCCCGGGGCCTCTTGGGGGGCTCTTGGGGGCCCCTTGGGACGGGAGGGGGGGTAGACGATTGCAGCCACCCCCATCGGAGGCCACGATCCTCGTGAGGGGTGGCGAAAAATAGCTTCCCCCCTGGGGATCGTCCGGGGGCCCCTAGGGGCCGCCCCGCGCGCGCGCGAATTAGAAATTCTGTTAAGTCATTACCGGAGATCTTAGCACGCCTCTGGCCCGTTGGGCCGGCGAATTATCCGTATTCTTCCTCCTCCTCCTCGTCCTCCTCCTCGTCCTCCTCCTCCTCCTCCTCCTCCTCCTCCTCCTCCTCCTCCTCCTCCTCCTCCTCCTCCTCCTCCTCCTCTCCTCCCTCCTCCTCCTCCTCCTCCTCCTCCTCCTCCTCCTCCTCCTCCTATCCTTATTCCCTATTAGAATATACTCCTACTCCCCCCTCAGGCCGGCCGATAGGGGCCGCATCCGGGTGGTCCCATCCTAACCTGTAAAAAACAATACAAAATCAACATTTTTCTTATTTTTTCCTCTCGACATGGACGTCCTGTCGTCCACGGCGATAATCCATTGCAAAAAATACCACAAAGAGCACACGCGCGCGTTCATGTCAGAATCCTACCGAACACCGTGTGTTTGCAAGCATTTCAACATAAAACATCAAAAACCCAATGCTTTTTTCACAAAAATTCTACAAATTTCCTGCCCGGGCTCTCTTGCTGAAATCATAGGAAAACCATAGGAATCTTAAGAATTCGGTCAAATCCAGCGATTTCACGTCATCGCGCGGTGCACTCGCGATGCTCTGTCATGCACCCAGGCCGCGAATCCTGTGCAAAAAATACCACGCGGGCGACATGCGCGCGCGTCGCCGCGAGCGCATGCTCAAATCCTTCTAGAGTCGTCGCCGTCATTGGCACCGTCGCATGGACGTCCTGTCGTCCACGTCGCAAAATGCATAGCAGGAATGGGACGCGGCGCACACCCCGCGCCCGCCCATCCAATCCGTCCCATTCTAATCTGCAAAAGACAATACACAGTTTTTGTTTTTCTTGTCAACATGGTCGTGCTGTCGTCACGTCGCAAAATGCGTGGCAGGAATGGGACGCGGTGCACACCCCGCGCGAAGGGGTGACATGTCGCTCTCGCCTCGGCGCCGCGCACCAACGTTTTTCCTCTCAGCATGGACGTCCTGTCGTCCACGTCGCAAAATGCTTGGCAGGAATGGGATGCGGCGCACACCCCGCGCCCGCCCATCCAAACCCCCCCTTTATAAAAAAACAGTACAAGTTGGGGCCTTCAGGCTTCCTGCGGTGTACCGGGCCATTCTCGACTCGTCTGGCAATGCGTGCGCGGCATTCAACACGCGCTCGCCAGTTCCCGTCGGCAACCGCCATCGCGGCCGCATCAGCTGTACCAAACCGGCTGGCCGGTGTGACTTCGGCCCCCAGTTGTGCCAGCTTTGCTTCTTATGTTGTGGGAGGGCGGGTGGGACTGGGCATGCCATGCTTGACTCGCTCGAGCTGGCTAGCTTGACTCCTACTCCTACTCCTACTCCTACTCCTATCCTTATTCCTTATTAGAATATACTCCTACTCCCCCCTCAGGCCGGCAGATAGGGGCCGCATCCGGGTGGTCCCATCCTAACCTGTAAAAAACAATACAAAATCAACATTTTTCTTATTTTTTCCTCTCGACATGGACGTCCTGTCGTCCACGGCGATAATCCATTGCAAAAAATACCACAAAGAGCACACGCGCGCGTTCATGTCAGAATCCTACCGAACACCGTGTGTTTGCAAGCATTTCAACATAAAAACATCAAAAACCCAAAGCTTTTTTCATAAAAATTCTACAATTTTCCTGCCCGGGCTCTCTTGCTGAAATCATAGGAAAACCATAGGAATCTTAAGAATTCGGTCAAATCCAGCGATTTCACGTCATCGCGCGGTGCACTCGCGATGCTCTGTCATGCACCCAGGCCGCGAATCCTGTGCAAAAAATATTACAAAGAGCACACTCGCGCGTTCATGTCAGAATCCTACCGAATACCGTGTTTTTGCAAGCATTTCAACATAAAAACATCAAAAACCCAATGCTTTTTCACAAAAATGTTTTGGGGTGTCCTGTCAGACCGTCGGGCTTCCTCCGGCCACCTCTGGCTTCCTGCGGTGCACCGGGCCATTCTCGACTCGTCTGGCAATGCGTGCGCGGCATTCAACACGCGCTCGCCAGTTCCCGTCGGCAACCGCCATCGCGGCCGCATCAGCTGTACCAAACCGGCTGGCCGGTGTGACTTCGGCCCCCAGTTGTGCCAGCTTTGCTTCTTATGTTGTGGGAGGGCGGGTGGGACTGGGCATGCCATGCTTGACTCGCTCGAGCTGGCTAGCTTGACTCCTATCCTTATTCCTTATTAGAATATACTCCTACTCCCCCCTCAGGCCGGCAGATAGGGGCGCATCCGGGTGGTCCCATCCTAACCTGTAAAAAACAATACAAAATCAACATTTTTCTTATTTTTTCCTCTCGACATGGACGTCCTGTCGTCCACGGCGATAATCCATTGCAAAAAATACCACAAAGAGCACACGCGCGCGTTCATGTCAGAATCCTACCGAACACCGTGTGTTTGCAAGCATTTCAACATAAAAACATCAAAAACCCAATGCTTTTTCACAAAAATTGTACAAATTTCCCGCCCGGGCTCTCTTGCTGAAATCATAGGAAAACCATAGGAATCTTAAGAATTCGGTCAAATCCAGCGATTTCACGTCATCGCGCGGTGCACTCGCGATGCTCTGTCATGCACCCAGGCCGCGAATCCTGTGCAAAAAATACCACAAAGAGCACACTCGCGCGTTCATGTCAGAATCCTACCGAACACCGTGTGTTTGCAAGCATTTCAACATAAAAACATCAAAAACCCAATGCTTTTTCACAAAAATGCTTTGGGGTGTCCTGTCAGACCGTCGGGCTTCCTCCGGCCACCTCTGGCTTCCTGCGGTGTACCGGGCCATTCTCGACTCGTCTGGCAATGCGTGCGCGGCATTCAACACGCGCTCGCCAGTTCCCGTCGGCAACCGCCATCGCGGCCGCATCAGCTGTACCAAACCGGCTGGCCGGTGTGACTTCGGCCCCCAGTTGTGCCAGCTTTGTTTCTTATGTTGTGGGAGGGCGGGTGGGACTGGGCATGCCATGCTTGACTCGCTCGAGCTGGCTAGCTTGACTCCTACTCCTCCTCCTCCTCGTCCTCCTCCCTTTTCCTCTTCTCGCCGGTGTTTTTTTTACTTTCTGGGGGTGTTGCTGTAGAGGACACCACTCGACAGTCTCTGCCGCGTATCGCCACGGAGTGCACGGGTTACTCGAGACATGTTGCGTTCGACCCCTCACTGATGCCCCTCCGTCTCCAAAAGATGTGACGGTCCACGTTTTGTGGTATGTTTGAAGTGGGAGCTGGCGTCAAATTTCACACGTCAGTTCTCGTCATTTTCTTGACGGCCCCATCAGGCTAACCCGCGTCCCCCAAGCCGGCCGGGTCTCAAGTACGTCCCAGACTGCGTGTGGGGGGGAGGGGGTACGGAGGTTTTTTGCCGCGCTCGGCCTTTCGGGCCCTTGAAGGGCCCCGGGGGCCGTCAGACAGATTCCTCCGGATGAATGTCGGCATCCCAGATGGGGTCGGAGCAGATGGGGTCGGAAGATCGCGCAGCATCGCAGATTCATCGACAATGTAGCTCGATGTGGAGCCCGAGTTTCTCCACGCCGATGACGCCGATGCATCGGTGATGCATTGACGATGCAGCGCGATCCTCCGACCCCATCTATTCCGACCCAATCTGGGATGAAGAACCCGTCCCAGAGGACCCTTCGCAGTCCACAACCCGTTTCTTCTTGGATTTCGCTTGTCGCGCCGAGGAGTTCATCGAGGCGTACGGGGGCACTGCCATGAAGCCCCCCGACGAGTGGGAGAATGCCAGGCGGGCCCCGGGCCCGTCGAGCTCAGGATGCAGGGAGGAGTCGCAGGATAAGGCAGGGCAGCGGAAGCAGGTGGAGGAGGAGGAGGAGGAGGAGGAGGAGGAGGAGGGGGAGGACTCACGACAGTGGTTGGAGCAGAATGCGGAGCAGTAGGGGATGAGACATGGCAAAGTTACTTTAGCTTTTCTCAAAAAGAGCGCAGCAAGAGCAACGCGTTCGAGTTTGCAATCGCACGGATATGCCTTGAAACTCACTCGTGCGATTCGGAACGCGGGCCCTTAGCCTGGCTAGAGATCCACCACGCTTCCTTCGTGGGTTCACATTCGCCGAAAAGACGAAGGTTGACAACTCTGCCTGGCAGTTTACGGTGGAGGCGTTGGTTAAGGAATGCGCCCAGGATGCTGCAAACCTTGGAGGATTCCTTATCTGATGAGGGCGGCGGTGATCCTCCTCCTCCTCCTCCCCCTCCTCCATCTGGCACCTGGCACCTAATCGCGGTGTGCCACGCACCATCCGAGAGAAGGCCAGCGATGTATGCGCAGTCTCCGCCGCGGACGCGCGCTCTTCGATGCTGGCGCGAAGAGCTCGGCACCGCGGCAGCCATCCAGCTGCAAAAGTAGGGAAGCGTTTGCAGAGGAGCAGAGGATCGAGGAAGAAGACGGAGGAGGAGGAGGAGGAGGAGGAAGAGGAGGCGGAGGAGGAGAAGAGAAGAGAAGATAAGAGAAGAGCAGAAGGTGCATCACTTCTGCAGGGAGGGGCAGGCAGGAAGTGCACCACACGATGCCAGCTTGGCCGAGCATTGGTAAGCCTCCTCTCTTCTGTTCGGTCCAGCGTTCCTCTAGCAGCTTCCAGGGATGCGGCCCGGTCTCGACAACCTGACCGCACGTGCCCACAACGGCACGCCCGAGGCTGGCCCGGCGCCGCTCAATGCTCGGCAGAGAGAAATTCGACCCAGCGGCTTCTCGAGCGTGTTATGACCACGGCACGCGCTGCTGGCTGGCCCTCTGAAACCGCGCCGCGCAGAGCGGCCTTCGCGGACGCCCACGAGAGTCAGAGACTCAGAGATGCCACCCACGGGGGTGGGCCACTCGGCGCACTCCTCGGCATCAGGGCCCAGGGCGCGGGACGCAACGGTGGGCTACGGGGCTTGGGGCCTGGATCGCCGCGCACGCCTCTTCGGCGTCACGGGGCACTGTACGCTCCTCGGCAGCTCGGGACTCGCCGCTGGCAGCATGGGCGCTGGCAAACGCGCGCGGGGGGGAGTGGGCCGTCGAGCGAGTCAAGACAGTCGAACGGGACGATGGAAGCATGACGACGCAGTTTGTTTCAGCATTAGGCGTCCCTGTCGAGATTCGTCGGAGCCAAACTGGCTACTCATGAAGCGCATGCAACAGGATACGGACATAGTGCTCCAACGCATGCACCAGAAGTGAAATTCTGAGAATGGAGAGGCTCTGGCCTTCCCCACTTATACGTCAATTTCCACCTTTGGAAATACCGACTGCGAAAAGATATGAAGAGCGCTCGCAGTGCCTTCAAGACATCAGATTGACAACCGTTCGAGAAAATTACACCTCGGATTGTCTGTCCGCCGCCCTCCTGTGAAAAGTCACGCTGCTCTCCTGAGCAGCTCATGCGGGACATCCTATCGGTGTTAGCTTGCCATAATTTCGCGTGATTCGTGGCATCATGTTTGCATCTGCTGCTCTCTGGAAGAAATTGCTTCAAACACCCCGTCACCACAGAGTCGCGAAAAGAGGAATGGTTAGAGCTGTGCACACGTGCACCTACAGGTACAGATGCTTGGGCTTGCTGGAGGACCAATATGTTTAGGTTGACAACGTCACATCTTGAATAACTAAAATATCAGCCATCGTTGACTCCAAATAGATAGTGGGTGATGATGGCGATGATGATGACGATGAGGACGATCCTGTTTTCCACACGCGCACTCTCCAGATGCAGATGGGGATGAGGCAGAAGGCTGCGGAGACGGAAAGGCTGCGGATGCGATGATGACGATGGTGATGCTGATGGTGCTGGCGATGATATAAAGAGGTGGAAGAGCGCTCAGAGGTGGTGCATAGGCGTAGGCATAGGCATAGGCGTAGGCATGGGAGTTAGGGGGAGGCATAGGCATAGGCATAGCCATAGGAATTAGGGGGTGGCATCGGAATTAGGGGGGGGCAACGGACCCATTAGTAGGGTTTGAGTTTGAACTCCTATAGGGCAAGCCTATTTGGAGAATAACTAACTCCCGGCCTCTTCCCGTCAGCGTCGTTTGTATATTGGGCCGCCGAGCGTTAACATGTTGTTGTGCTTTTGTGTGCGAAACAAAAACAAGCACCAGTACGCCGGCAACCGCAATGATACAGCATTCGACGCTGCACCCTGAGCCCCGCAGGAGGTCTACCACACCCAACACCGCATGGACCGGCAAGCATCCTTCCCGCGGCACAGCTTGTCGGTAGGCCGCCTCCGCACAAATGCGCACGTCCATCGAAACTCAGGACAAGGCCGGCGGGGCCTGGGGCACGTGCCGATGTGAGCACCTCTCGGCACCGTGGGACACCGGGCATTGCGCGCACCTCAGCGACGGCGCCTTACGTTGAGCACCCGAAGCCGGGGCGCTGGCAAACGCTCGCGGAAGGAGGAGGAGGAGGAGGGGGAGGAGCAGCAGCAGCAGAAGGAAAGCGAGAAGGGGAAGAAGAGGCAGCCCTCACCTTCTCGCTGCGTACCAGAGATTGTGGCGCATGTTGCTGGCGCGTGCCGCCTGATCTTTCGCAGTGGCGGCCCCAGCTTCAGAGGTGAAGCGACGGTCTCGGGGGGGCAACCCGAAGACAACGCACGATTGGCCGTCTCTCCATCGCGAAGCTTCAGAATCTTACTCGAAGGACACTTCGCGCAAGGGACAAGGAGACCATTGACAAGACCACCACTCCTGTCCTTCCTCTCTCGACAGCCCTTCTCTTTCGCGGGGTCGCGGAAGAGGAGGGAAGGGTGAGGGAGGAGGAAGGGGAGGGGAGATGATGGGAGAGGTGAAGGAGGAAGACGGAGGGAAGGAGGAGGAGGAGAAGGCGGAGGAGGAGGCGGAGCAGGACGAGGCGGAGGAGGAGGAAGCGGAGGTGGAGGATGAAGGAGCAAGAGGAGAATCGGCATCAGGAGCAGGCGAGAGGGGGGATGAAGAGTGAGGGAAGGAGTTGGGAAGGAGGAGGAGCCGGATCAAGGTGCAGAGCAGGATCCAGAGCAGGAGCAGAAACAGGAGCAGGAGGGGGGCAGCCCGGATGGGTGGGTGCGCCGAGGGCCTCCAGGGGAGCGTGCGCTCGGCCAGCGTGCGCCCGAAGCGCGCGGGGGCGGCGGCCCGCAGGCACAGCGCCTTCATCTTCAAGTCTTAGGGCGCGTCCGGAAGTAGGCTCCGACCTGGCCGCGGCGAGGGTGCGCCCGCGCCCTGGGGCCCAGACCTGGCCGCGGCGCGGGTGCGCGCGCGCGGTGCAGCAGCGAGTGCGAACACGGCGAGCGTCGCCCTGGCCAGAGGGAGGACGGGCAATCGAGGGGCGAGGGTGGTCGTGGCATGGCAGGTTCGCGCCGCGTCGGCGCAGCGGCGACGCCAGCGCAGGCGTTCAAGGTTCAAAGCCATTCGCAGTGGAGGCTTCCATGTCAAGCGTCGGGTTATCTTGTCGTTGCTCTTCTCTGCTTGTGATTGCCCTCTTCGGGACAGCATTGTCTGAGTACGCAAGGAGATGCGAACGTCGCCGGGATGTTCCACAGTGACCCTGTTCCCACTTGGGTGTGCGCGTGGGTGCGAGTGTGCGTGCCAGTAGGGCCTTTGGGCTCACGCGCATGCGCGCCCCCGCGTTTTTCAGCAAGCGACTGCCACCATCCAGAACACCCATCTGCTACGCCAGGTGCAAATTCGCCTGGGCGTGTCCCGGCCTAGCGCTTCGCAACGGTGCCACCTCGCCGTTGAGGGGAACAAGTGGGTGGGGCCACGCTCATGGCGAAGGCCCGCCCTGTGGGCGCTCCAGCCAGGCTGACGCACGCGGGCGGTGCCACTGGGGCCTTCGGTGGAGCCCCCCGTTATGGGACCACGAAACGCTGTACTGGGTGGTGGCTAACGCATGCGGGCGGTGCCACTGGTGCCTTCGGTGGATCTCCCTATGGGCCCACGAAACGCTGTATTCGGTGGTGGCTGACGCATGCGGGCGGTGCCACTGGGGCCTTCGGTGGAGCTTCCTATGGGGCCGCGAAACGCTATACTGGGTGATGGCTGACGCACGCGGGCGGTCCCACTGGGGCCTTAGGTGGTGCTCCCAATGGAGCCACGAAACGCTGCACTGGGTGGTGGCTGACGCACGCGGGCAATGCCAGTGGGGCCGTCGGTGGAGCTCCCTACGGGCCCACGAATCGCTGCACTGGGTGTGGCTGACGCATGCGGGCGGTGCCACTGGGGCCTTAGGTGGAGCCCCCATATAGGGCCACGAAACGCTGTACTGGGTGGTGGCTGACGCATGCGGGCGGTGCTGGTGGGGCCGTCGGGGGAGCCCCCTATGGGGCCACGAAACGATGTAGCGGGCGTGGCTGAGGCATGCGGGCGGTGCCCCTAGGGCCTTCGGTGGAGCCCCCGTTATGGGACCACGAAACGCTGTCCTGGATGGTGGCTGACGCATGCGGGCGGTCCGACTGGGACCCTCGGTGGAGCTCCTTATATGGGACCTCGAAACGCTGTACTGGGTGGTGGCTGACGCATGCGGACGGTCCCACTGGGGCCTTCGGTGGAGCTCCCTATGTCTGAATGTGATAGGGGTATCTCATGTTGCTAGCAGTTGTATCGAGTCTGTTTCATGTGCTTCATTCTCGCTCGCTGCTACCGTTATAATTGCAGTGTGCCGCCGCCACTTCGGATCAGGCGAGGGTGGGCGGGATTCCATTCTGGATGCGCCTGCGAGTTCGCAGGCAGTGGCGCGCTCTGGGGACGTGCCAGAAAAGATTGCGAGGGCAGCGGGTGCCCTCTTCATTTCCCTGATTGTGTTCCGACAATCAAGCGTCAATAGTCGTAAAGTATTGACGCTCCTGTTTTGGAAGAGCTCGAGGCCCTGGACTTCCTGGTCGTGGACCTCTTTCGGGCTCCTCGGGATTCAGATTGGTAGCGGAGCCTGTGGTTTCCGCCACGGGCTTCCACCAGTCTCGCCGCCACGGCGTCGAGCGACGCGGCCTCTACGACCTCCGGGGTGGAGGTGCCGACGTGGAACGGGGAGGCCGACAAGCTCTCCAGCTACCGCTTCGAGGTGTCCATGTTCGTGAAGAGCGCGCGCGTGGCCGACCGCTACGTCTGCGGACCCCAGCTGGTCCGAGCGCTCGGACCGCGCGTGAGGAGCGCCGTGGAGAGCTGCCCGAAGATCGACCTGGTGGACACAGTGGACGAAGACGGCCGCCTCACGGGCTGGAACACTGTGTTCGAGTACGTGCTGGGCAAGCTGGACTACACGAGCTTGAACGACACGGGCCTGCTGGCAGAGGAGTTCTCCATGAAGACATCTCGGAACGCTAGAGAGACGTTCCAGGACTGGGCGGCGCGGTTCGAGAAGAAGGAACGCGAGCTGCTCACGCAGCTGCAGGCCATCGACGCGAACGTGCGCGAGGTGATCGCGAAGCCGCTTCGTACATGGTGGTTCCTTCGGAAGTCACGGCTGACTCCAGTGCCACGAGGAGAAGTGACGGCGACCGCGGGAGGAGACTTCGACATTGCGAAGACCTACCGGACGCTCCTGACGCGCTTCCCGGCGGACGCGCTGGCCGAGCTGGACGGCAAGACGAAGCGCGAGAAGGCCCTGCACGAGAACGACGCCAACGAGGACGACTGCGAGACTGGTGGTGATCCAGAAGACCTGTACGAGATGGTCGAGCAGCTGATCAACATCGCGGAAGACGAGGACGTCGAAGAAGAAGAAGAAGCTGCTGACCAGGAGGCGGACAACGAGGTGCACGCCCAGTTTCGACAGGCAGGACGGAGCTTCAAGGACGCCCGAGATCTACTTCGACAAGTACGTGTGGCTCGGGACTTCTACCCGGTGGTGGTGCCCAAGAGCGAGCTGACGGATCAGCGGGCGGCACCGCCCCTTCGGCCTCATCCCGAGAGCCGACCGCGACCTCTTGGCAAGGGACGTGGACGGGGTCAAGCCGATCGTCGCGTGCGATTCGAGTCAGGCCGTGACATGGCCAAGATGAAGTGCATCCTGCGCCGTCAGTTCGGCCATCGCGCCAGGGATTGCCCGAACAAGAACAAGCTGACGACGAACACGAGTGGCGATAGCCACAACACCCACAACGGCTTCATCCTGTCGGCCCTGGACGAGTACGTCTACTTGCTGGAGCGCGAGGGGATCTGGGCCATCCTGGACATCGGAGCGACCAGGAGCTTAGGCGGCATCGAGAGCGTGGAGAACCTGATGTACGAGATGCTGGATCAGCACGGGGTCGAGTTCGAGACGAAGGACGAGGTCTGCTCCTTCACCTTCGGGAACGGGCTTCGGAAGAGCTCCATGGGGTCGGTCACTGGCAAGGTGTTCGTGGGCCCCAACCTGCACCCCGCGAGCCTCTCGGTGATGTCGATTCGGGGCCCCCATCCTGCTGGGCATGGACATCCTGACTGACGACCTGCAGGTAGTCGTGGACTGTGGGCGGAACTGGCTGGGCTTGCCGACTCTTGGGAATAAGGTCTTCTACTGCGAGCGGCTCTCCAGCAAGCACCTGGCGATCAACCTGTCGACGCCACAGCGGTGGCGAGAGGCCCCCTTGCCCTTGACGCCAGCTCGCTCAACGGAGAATCCGATGGAGGCGGGCCTGGCCGCACTGGACGAGAAGCCGGAGGAGCCCGGCACGGGCGGCGCTGACGGTCTTGCCGCGCGCTAGGGACAGCACCCCCTGGTGGTGGCGGCGAGCGAGATTCCATCTCCATCGTCATCTTCATCATCGGGGGGGCCCAAACGCCATCCTCCAGAAGCCTCGAGAGGACCCTGTCGACAAGACCGTTCCGAGAAGCCTCCAGCATCGTCCGAGACCCCTTCATCACCGAGCCAAACCTCTCGTTCTCCGAGCTGTTCTAACTGTAGGTGTTTTACTGGATCAACGGGAACTCCTGGGACCAGATGCAGTGGACCTCCTACGTCAGAGCTACTTGGGAGCCCAAGGGGAACCTTGCCATCCAAACAGAGCCTGAGAAAGGTCCAAGACATAACCAAGTCCGAGCCTCAGCCTCGTGTGGCCCAAGAGCGCTGCGCTCCCACGTGTGTGGACTGCCGTTCAGTTTCCAATTCATATCCTACATATTCGAGCCACAGCTGCCCCAACTCCGTGGATGTCATGCAGCAAATCTTCTTCGGCGCCCTCATCGGGACAGCCGTCGCCGCCAGCGTCGCGGCCAGCGCGGGCAGCCCCTCGGTCAAGGGCCCCACCAACGGAGGCGTCATCAGCACCAGCGAGCTCGACGGCTACCTCAACAGCGGCGCCACCTACGCCAACACCAGCACTGCCGAAGGCACCTCCCGTCAACAGTCCGTCAACTCCGACATCGACTTACGACCCAGCGGGGAAGCGTTCATGTTGCGGCGAGAGAGGGAGGACGAAGCGCGGATGCAGCTGCGTGGGGGGCAAGAGCCACTACTGCCTACGACTGGTGCCCATCTACGGACCGCCACCTCCTCCAGCAATGTTGGCTGCCGTGGCCAGCATGCCACCGCCGCGGTTGCTAACACAGACGGGGACCTACGTGCCGCCACCGCCGACACCAGCACAACTGGCCCCTCCGAGATCGAAGCGTTCATGCTGCACGGGCGGGAAGAGCCATCAGTGCCTCAAGATGGTGGAGCCCGAGGATCCGCAGGCGGTGGATATTAGGAGCCAAGCCGCGGCTATGCGCTGGAGGCGGCTCGCGACGAAGTTGGCCAAGACGGACCGCGAGGGCCTGTGGGAGTTCCTGCCCAACGATAAGGACACGATGCTGGACGATTCCGAGCTGCCGGAGGCCATGAAGAAGAGATCTCGCTGAAGCACCTGGACATGGCGGACCTTCAGAAGTTCTACCAGGTGAAGGAGAAGATCGATGAGGGGATCTACCAGAACGCGGCGACGGACATGCTCGAACTTACGAAGACGAAGCGCGTTGACTTGATGGAGGCCTGCTGCCCCGCGACGTCAGCTCTCGGACAAGCCGTGCTCTCACAAGGTGGCCTGGTCGTACGATGTGGTTTGTTCAACGGCTACGACATGGCAACTGCAACTGGACTACGACGAGCTGTACATCTCCTGCGTCGGACCAGGCCCAGACGTCTGGTACTCAGCCCGCCGTGCACCGCGGACTGCCCGATTCAGAACCTCAACCAGAAGACCGAGGACCAGCGGAAGCAGCTCATGAATAAGATACGTCAGGCCCGTCGTATCCAGCGCAACTGCCTCTTTCTCTACGAGGAAGCCAAGAAGATCCTAGATCCCCACATCGACCTGGAGCAGCCATGGAACAGCCGCAGCTGGAAGCAGTCACCATCTC